TTAAAATTTAAATTTTTATTAATCCGGATGAAAATAGATTTTTCAGCTATTGTAAGGTTTTCGATACGAGCATTACATCTTCCAGCAAAATTCAGAAGTGCGCCTTACTGGAATGGTATAAAGAGGGGCACCTTATACAAACCTCACCCATTTCATACATTGGAACGAAGTCGTTTCATCCAATACTCTCATTTGGGTCACATTTTGTAGGACCTTTGAGGTGGTGAGAAAATTAACCTATTGACATGGTTTTAGTGCATGAAACTATACTGGCTCTGATGAGGCAACAGGTTTCATCAATGCATTGTATTCTTTTCGAATGTTTTACTTCATCAATGCATTATACATTTTCTTGAGAATTGATCTTTTCGTAAAAGGTTGATGGTATTTATAATTTCACTTTATTTACCTCAATTACCCCCCTTTTTCTACTATCCATTACTAATGACAATTACAAATGATAGACCAAGAGATTGGAGGTAAAATCCCTGCTTTGCCAATGCATCATTCAGGGAGTTATTCTCTCTAAAACAATGAGAAAAGTGCACCTGAAGGGATAAAGAGAGCTCTTTGATCCAATCAAAAGTTGGAATTAATTTCCAAGGAATGGGTCGAACTTCTTTTGCCCAAAGGATGACATTTAGGGCTATATGTTTTCATGGAGTCTTTGGAAGTATGGGTTCAACATTCCAATAACTCTCACTTTCCTGTTTGTTGTGGTGCGGTGGAAGCCTCAAAATTGGAGCCCAGCCTTCACCGCCCCACTTAAAAAGGCCTTCTTTTTTGAAGTAGCTTCCATGCTACAGTGTGGAATCCGCATCTTTCACAAAAGTGGAAGAGGGTGCCTTATGTGAGAATATTGTGTCTTCATTGATGAAATTTATGTTACAATAGTGGATTTATACAAAAAGAATTGCATGTATATGTAATATACATTTAATACTTACTAAATCTGTAAAATATAGTTTCTAAACAATTTTAATGTACAACATGCATTTCGACTTATTATATTTGTTCAAACTCCCCCTCAAACTCGAGATGCTTTGAAAGAATCATTGAAGGTTTGGAAACAAACTGCTAGAAGTGATATGGATAATGAGATTTGGTAAAAAAAAGTCCATGAGTTGAATGGCGAAAGGCACATAGGGCAGAGAAATTGTGCTTGTCAAATATTCTTGTCAACACATATTGGCAATCGACTTCAATATATTTGGTTCGTTCATGAAACTCTGAAGTTTTAAAAAATATAAATAGCACTCTTGTTGTCATAATAAAGTGAAGTGGGAGTGGCAATAGTAATAGTCATGTCTACAAGCAGTCAATAGAGCAAACCAATCTCAGTGGTAGTTTGTGTCGTAGCCCTTTATACAGCTTCCATGGTAGCTTGAGTAATACATTTTTGTTTCTTGCTTTTCCAAGATATAAGAGAACCATCTAGAAACATGCAGAACCCAGTAGTAGATTTGGAGTCACTTGGATTCTCCATAAAATCCGAGTCCATGTAGGCCCGGAGCTCAATAGAGGAAGAAGAGAAAAATAAAGCTTGTTGATGGGCATCTCTGATATAACAAATAATGTGCAAGATAGGAGCCAGATGAACAGAACGAGAAGTACACAGAAACTAACTATATGAACTTCATAAGCTAGATGAGCCACTGGGCAAAAGTTTCTATAAAGTCAATGCCATATTGTTGGTTGTAACATTTTGTCATAAGGCAAGTTTTGTATCTTTCAATGCAGCCATATGCTTTTGCTTTGATTTTATATATACATCGATATCCAACATCAGTCTTTTCTTTTGGAAGAGGGACGAAGTCCCAAGCATGCATGCGATTAAGAGTATTTAACTCATCCATCATTGTCTATTGCCATTCAAGCTGACTTGCAGCATCCTTGTAAGTCTGGGGCTCAGAATAAGAATGAACAGAAGCAAAAAAAAACTTGATGATGAGGCAAAAAAGTTTCATTATCAGCAAGCCGTGCAGGTGAGACAAATACATGGGTGTTTCGCCTAAGAGTATGGAGCTGCATAGAATCAGCAGGTGCAGGATTATAATCTGGACTGTCAGCATGAGTTGGTTGTGCTTCTTCCTAGTCTTCAAGTTGAAGGACAAAAGGGGAATGTTCATAAGAAGTTGGAACATAATCAGAAAAAAGGACTAGAAAAGAAAGGTTAGAGGAGAAGCTATCATTTTCATTGTTAAAAACAAGAATATGTTACAAAAACCCATGTCGGGATACCCCAAGTCTTTTGGTCAGGGTAGCTCGCAAAGCAACATTTGATAGTCTTAGGAGACAACTTGTCTCTTTCAGTGGAGGGTTACAGTACCAGACGAGTACAATTGAACCCATGCAGAAGGGAATAATGAGACGTTCGCGTGAACAAATTTTCATATGATGACACTCTAGATAAAATGGAAGATGGCATAATGTTGATGAGATAAATTGTTGTATGAACAGCTTCTACCCAAAATTCTTTTGAGACAAATGTAGACAGAAGAAATGCTCTTGTAGTTTCTAAATATGACGATTTTTACACTCTGCAACACTATTTTGTTCTAAAGTGTAAGGACATGTTTTTTGGTGTTGAAGGTTTTTGCCAGTAAAACTTTTTTGAAGCAATCTACTGATGTATTTCTCTCCAGAATTTAAGTGAAGGGCTTTAACTTTGGTGGAAACTTAGGTTTCTACATATGAATAAAATTGAATGAAAATTATATAAAAATCAGTGTGATTGTTCATAAATTAAAAAAAAAAACATCTATAACGAGTATAATCATCAATAAAAGTATCACAATATCGTGATCTCCCTTTAGATAGAATAGGAACAAGTCCCTACACATCAATGTGTACGAGTTCAAATATAAAAGATGAAATAGAATTACTTCGAAAGAAGAGTTAAAGCATGAAATTTAACAAATTAACAAGTTGTACAATGTTGGACATTAATATAGGTTTTATTTTTAACCGTACCAAAAACATTACGAGAGAATTAAAGCTGTAACCTAGAGTTAGAGCTGTGACCATGGCGCTGATTCCCTAATGATGTGTCATCCATCCTTTCTCTCTGCCTAAATCCTCTTTAATCTTGTGTTTTTTCTAACTCTCTCTTAGGCTTTTCTCTCTTTATTCTCTGTCTATGACTCACCAAATGCACTTTCTCTAACTCAGTAAATGCACTTTCTCTCTCTAACTCAGTAAATGCACTTTCTCTCTCTAGATGAATTTTTTTCTCGCTCTAGGCCACCGCTCTAATCATGACATTTCTCTCCCTATATTCTCTTTAAATATGCTCTCCCTCATTTCTCTATGTAACTGTCTTTAATACTGCCCTTTCCCTAACTCCTTTCTCTAACTATTTATTTCATGTCTCTAAGTCTTCTGTATCTAATCGTACCACTCTCTGTGCAAGTACGCAACTGTGAAGTCAAATATCTGTCAAGCTTTTTCAGATCATTCTGAAGCATGAATAGCAAGCATGTTTTAAAATGATTCATCCTAAAAAAAATAACAAACAATAAGGGTTCAGGTGGTATAGGGATGCATCGGTAGCTATAGAGGTGAGGTGCACCTTCAAATTTTATTATGGTATATAATTTTAATGTATAATGTTCTTAGGATTATCTCAAAATCTATTTTTATATCTAATTATAAAATTTTAAATTTCAAAAATAGTTAAAATCAAATAAATCTATAAACATATGAAAATCTTGACAATGGACAGTATAGATAATATGTTATAAAATGTACTATTTTTCAGACTTAAAATCTTTTTATTTTTCATGATATACATCTCGATGTCGAGATGATCAATTAAAAGGTTTTTCAACATTAAAAATACCTTTTCCAATAGATTTTTGAAGTACATCCGTAATTCTACATTACAAAGTTGTATCTTTATATAAATTTTTTCCAAAAAATAAAAATAAATATAAAACACTCATATAGGAGCCTAAATCTTACACATAAGCTTCCGTACCATAAAGAGAAGGTAATCAAAAGTAGAAACCAGTTTTGGAACGACACAACCCAAAAGCTTGTGAGCCTCCTCAGTATAAAGTTGCATCTTTATATAAATTTTTTCCAAAAAATAAAAATAAATATAAAACACTCATCTAGGAGCCTGAATCTTACACATTAGCTTCCGTACCATAAAGAGAAGGTAATCAAAAGTAGAAACCGAGTTTTGGAACGAC